GGTATGTCGTCTGTCATGGTTTTGGAATATACATGACAAAACACCTGTTGTGGATTCAACAGGCATAGACTGAGAGGCAAAAGAAATGCTCCAAGGATACCTGAAGACACACCCTTAGACAACTAGGTACAAGCCCAATCTCCTGGGAAATGACAGTCTGAGCCAGTGAAACATAGCAATCATCACAAGGCTGGGTGTCATCAAAGGCGCCATTCAGAGAGAGAGACTGTGAACCGTAGTTCTGGCCACTGAAAAGGGGAGACAACACCTTGGTACTCAGTGTGGAAAGGAGAACACACCTACAATGCATGAGTGACTACAGCGTCAGTGTCTTTTGAGTACAAAGAATAAGACAATGACTTATTCTTATCTGAGCAGCTGTAGTAGTGGGTCCCCAGCTGCACGTCTCCCTGTGCCAAGGGGAAATGGAACATACTATAATAGCCTCTCTTGTCTCCATTCCCTTTTCCTAGATGAGCTTTTTCTCACTGGAGCACTAGGGCCTGGCTTTCTCCCTCCTTCTGGTACTCTGCCTGCCAGGGCCAGCCTTACTGAAGTGGGGCCAGAGAGGTCCCAACTCAAGGAAATTACCTTTCTAGGATCTGTCCTGAGAAGAAGTGCCATCACTACAGATTCATTGCTTTGGCTTAAGATCTTGTATGCCATTAAAACCAAAGTACCCTTCCCACAACTTGTCCCACCTTCCCAACCATTTACACACACACGATTCACACACATATTATGAGTTAGGACATACCATATTCTCTGCAGAGAACACAATTTGAGGGACAGAAAGTGCAAAGAGCTTATTGTGAAGGTTGTAGCTAGGAGGATATTCGATATATTAGAGGGTACATACGAACTTAGTCAATTTTCCATAGTCAGTTGTGTAATAATAATGACAAAAACAATGGTGACATTTATTGACTACTTACTTATTGAGTCAGACATTATCCTTACATTATGTGATCCCATCTAATCTTCCCAATAACCTCATCCTATAAGAAAAGGAAACTAGAGAATGATGCCACTTGCCCAGGGTCCCATGGCTAGTACGTGGATGTGTAATAATAATAATGACAAAAACAATGGTGACATTTATTGACTACTTATTGAGTCAGACACTATCTTTACATTATGTAATCTCATCTAATCTTCCCAACAACCTCATCCTACAAGAAAAGGAAACTAGAGAATGATGTCACTTGCCCAGGCTAGTACGTGGATGATCAAAGTGTGTGCATGTCATCTCTGTGCTATACTGCTCCTTGGACAGAGGAGCAATGGTGGTGTTTCTCTCTCATAGATCTCTTTGAAACCTGACTGTTTACAGCCGACTTGGCTAGATATTACGAGCACAGTCTCTTAGGTCTTTTGTTTCCAAAACAAAAATGATAGCAGCCAAAGATATGATGGCACCAGCAAAGTTCTTCTTTGCAGTTTATCTGGAACATGGCCTTTATGTCATAAGGACTCCATTCTCCAGCCTATCTGCAAATGAGCTAAAATATTGGAATTCACCATTTTCAGACTAGAACCTGAAATGAACTTGAAAATCAGCAACATTTAACATCCCAGTGTTCTAATTCGTTGCTGTTAAAGAGTCCTCTTTGAAGCCCAGGAGACCTTCCACAGTCACATTCCAGAGATGCCCCTCCCATCTTTTCCCCACATCCCCCACTCCCATGCTTTGCCTGGAAAAATCTTTCTTATCCTTCAAGGTCCAGCTCAAATGTCACCTCCTTTCTGAAGTTGTTCTCAGCCCCCCAGGCAGAATCCATTGATCCTCTGGTGTGCTCCCATAGCACTTTATATTAGCACTGCAAGATTAGCACTTACCACGTTGTTTTAGTTAGTTGCCTAAGTAAGGTCCTCGAGGTCAGAGACCTGTCTTATTCATAACTCTTTCTATCCCCGTATCCCCAGCCCAGCACCTGCCATATTTCATCAAATCTAAACCCCCATCAATTGTAAGATACACCATGATTTTATGAACTACTGAGAAAGAAAAAACATTAACAATTATACTTGACATGCCATTGATTTGAAGATGGGTCTTGAATTCTGGGATGTCAAAATGGTTATTAAAAAACGTATGCCTGAGGAATGATGAACGATGGTCATAAGCGCTTAGCAAATGTTTATAGAACACGATTGTAAACCCAGATGGAGCAGATACTCCTAGAGCACTGTGCCTTTTCCACTAGAGGTGATTTTAATAGGCAAACCTGGGAGTTGGTGGTGAATGATAAATTGTATAGGTCCCTTGGTTTGCAATTGACCATAAACTGAAAGGTTGGTGGTTCGAACTCACCCAGCAGTGTCACAGATGAAAGGCCTGGCAATCTGCTTCTGTAAAAGATGCCAGCCAAGTAATCCCTAAGGAGCAGTTAGTTCTACTCTGTACATGGGTTGCCATGAGTTGGAATCAACTCAATGGCAATGGGTTACTTGTAGGGTTTTTGCTGAATGGTTTGTGGGTGTATTGCTGACTTAAAACATTTTACCCCCTAATAGATTAAAGGGATGAGTGGCCTGAAGTGCCTTTGCCTTTAAAAGATACTTTCATACCCCCATTTAATATACCATAGGGTACGGCAATAATATTGTAGTAACAACTGGGGGACACCTGATGCAATAAGTGAGAGTGATTGCAGAGACAACAGGACAGAGTATGTGTGTGTGCCTTAATCCTAGTTCTATAGGCCAGTTCAAGTCACTGTTGTTCATTCTCATATGGCCACAAAACAAAGAGGAGCAGTAACTGCCCGGCATCCTCCCAGCTTATTCCAGCCTTTTCATTCTAATGAGATTCTTTCTCAGCTCCGAATTGTTGGCTCTGTGACCTTGGCTTCCACTTCTCCCTTACTCTCTGGACTTGGTACTTATATATGGTCCCTAGTTGGTGTCTGGACCTGGCTTTCCATGGGGCTTTTGGCTTGGCAAGCCTTGCCGGGGCCCAGCATCCCAGGCGGTCTCAAGAAGCTATGTTCTGGTCCCATCTTAGGAAATCCAAAGCCCCTACCCTGGAGCTAGGCTGAGCCATGCTGTTGTCTTCTCCAGACCACACTCCTACCCATTCACCCCCAAGTGTGCATAAGCACGCATAGACACGCAGGGATATGGTTGGTTGACAGAAATTCTCCTGGATTAAAAGTTCCTCCTAACAAATTAAAATATACCAAGAGGGTTAAGCCGAGTGGTCACATACAATTTGTGAAATATTTCAGACCTGTAAGCAGCTCTGTACACTACCAGTCTTTATGAGAGTCTTTATGCAGCACGGAGGACAAAAAAGAGAGACTTTTTAAGGGTGCAATGAGGAATGGAGTCAAATAGGGCAAAGTGTTTCTAGTTTGCGGTTGTGCCTAGACCCTTGTTGGGAAGCCAGGGACCACCAAACACATCTTCCCCTTCCACACAGGCTGCCAGTGCCTGGGTTATCAGGACTACTAAACGGAAACACTGCAATGAGCATCTTCCAATTGACTCCAATGCTCCCAGGCCAGGCAAGCCTTGCTCAGCCTCCAGGTTTGTCTCCATCCAGTGCCCTCCACAATCTTAATGAATAGAGAGTAGACAAGAGAACAGAGAAAAAATAAACTCATTTACACCTTTTGCTGGTTTATGATTGACACAGGATTGAAAGATGCTCAAACTATTTATTTTTTCCAAAAAAAGAGCCTATTTACATTTCCTTTGATAATGGGTCTGCCAAGTAGGTCCCCCAACGTGTTAGCACTGAATACACCCAATGCCACTGGAATTTTACTTCCTCACAAGGGTCGAGTTACGCTTGCAAATAAAATCATCGAGCTGAAATCACAGACTGTTAGCACTGAACTGAATCTCGCTGAGAGTTCATTTTATGGATGAGGAACTTTAGGCCTGAAAGGTTAATTAACTAGTGAATGTCAGCGCTAGTATTAGACCCCAAGTATCCTGAGTCCCAGTCTGGGGATTTTTCCATCAGGGAAGATACTTACACTCTTTATCATTGTATCCCACTGTCACAGTCTATAATTACACTTGGTTTGCCAGGCTTAAAAATACCAAGCAAACAGAGCTCCAATTACAAGAAATCTTAATGATTGATGCAAACAAATGCAAAGAATCAGCTGCCCCATCATTTCCCCAAGGGGCTGAGGCAGTACATATTTACTCTTTAGAAGCATAAAATTGTCATTGCATGGTCCCCTTAGAGGGCTGGATTACTGTGTAAATCAAGGCAGCGCAAGATAAGCTTACCTAGATGGTATGCTACACCCTTCACCACAGTGATGTAAGCGGCCGGAAGTCTATCCTTTTTTCCCTCCTTAAATTTGGGAAGAACTATATAAATAACGCCCCTTGCTGGCCAACACAGGGAAGTGCCAAAGTCATTGCCGACCAAAGCAGGGCTCTAAGAAAGGTCACCACAACAGAACTGCGGCCAGGTCAAAGGACAAAGCATGGGGAAACAACAGGGGGAAGACAATGGGCATTTTTTGTTCAAGCTGTTATATGTGCCTAATTAAGGTGAGACCCTCAAGAAAGCAGATCCTTTTGTGGTATCCCATTGAGGTTGGACAGGCAGCTACAAGAGCCACAGACACATGTTCAGCTTATAGACAAAAACACGTTTTTTATTGTTAACATTAGTGAACACAGAGTGAAGGATATTCACGTGCCAAGGACTCAAAGATCACAAAACAGCTGTTGATCTATAATTGTTAACGACACGGTGAATCACAACACATCTTGGAGTGAAGCGTGTATATGTGTAAAAAATTCCAAAGCCTCATTCCCAGTTGGACTCTCACAGTAACTTCATTAGAAAAAGAAAGTAGAAGCTTTGAAGTTAACAGCTATGTGTTTTACAGATACTCTGATTCACCAGAAATGAAAATGAGGTTCTTTTACACACATTTTAAGTAGCGCACAAAGACAGTACAAACACACACTGATTTGGCTCAATGACTTGCTAAATGGAAGGCTTTATTTATTTATTTTTTTTCATTTTAAAAAATATTCCCTGGAAATTGGCCAAGGGGATTTGATGTAGTAACGGAGGCAAAGTGCTGTCTGAGCACTTCCAGGGCCCTATTGTTTCTTGCTTGCAGAGTCTTTTCAACTCTCAATTCATTCTTGATGGCGTCCAGCTCTCCATGGATCTTATTCATTTCTAATTCATAAAACAATTTCATTTCGCCTCTGAGGAAGGCACTCCCAACTTCGGCTTGCCGCTTCAGCTTCTTCACAGTCTCTTTTAAATCTCGGTTCTCTAGATTCAGCTTGTGGATGGCTTCTTTGGCTTGCTGGAGCTCTTTAGTTAAGTTTTTGACATTGGTTGCTTTTTTAGACAGGTCATTTCGTAAAGCTTGAAGCTCCCAGTCTTTCTTGGAAGCATCCACTCGCGTTTCTTGAAAGTTTAGGGGTTTGGTAGAGACTTTCTTAAAGTTTAAAAGTTCTTTCTCAGCCTTTTCAAATTCTTCTTCTACTTTTTTGTATTTCTTATTCAGTTCCTCCAGTTCCGCATTCAAAAGGTTCAGGTGAAGTTTTGGACACATTCTTTCTTCCACGAGTATCTTCTTCACGTCTCCTTGTCGTCGGCGTCGTCCACTTGATTCCTTTGCAGTGCAGGTTGAGTGACTTTCGGTGCTCTTAACGCTTTCTGCGGCTGGAACATCCAAATTAGATGCTTCACGGGAGGCAGAACTTGCATCTGTTTCATTCCTTGAAATGTTTAGTTTTCTCTCTCTTAACTTTGGTTCTTGTTCTTTTTCATTTAGTTGGGAAATAGATTCCTTCTTCTTAACTTTATTTTCCTCTTGAAACTTTTGACTGGACAGATTACAACGTTCTTCCATTTTTCTGGCTTTTTCTAGAGTCGTCTGTTCAGAAGATTCAGGCTGAGAAGCCTGACCTGGACGATCTTTTGTAAACACATTCTCCTTGTGTTTTCTTTTCGCATCCATTTCTTCTGGAACTGTTTCCAGTTCCTGAAAAACAAAATACAAAATGAAGACACATTATTTCCACTGATATCTAGTGTAGTAGAAAGAGCTGGCCCACAGGGGAAGGGACCTAGATATTTGGGGGCTAGCTCTCCCCTAACTCTCTGAGTGACTTGGGCCTCAGTTCCCTCATTTCTAAATTGTAAGAGATGAACCTAGCTGAGTTCGACAGACCCTACCTATTTTCGAAATCTCTGCTCCTATGAAATATAGCCTGTAAATTAACACATATGGTTATTTATAGTAGACGAAGAAAATAATCCAATGAGAAAGCAAAATACATATGAAACTAGATTGCTTTATAACAATACAAATCTGATAAAATTAGTAAATTGAGATTTTTAATACCTGTGCTTCCAATGTGACTAATTTTTCCCCCTAGTTCTTCCAGGTTGAACTACTGTGTATTCATCCTCTAAAGGGACTACAACATCAGGACTTGATGCACTGCGAGCTGCTTTCGGTAAAGTATACCATGCAGACTTGCTATGAGTAACTCTGCCAGATGCCCTTCTGTCTTGACCTGTACATTCCTGCTATTCCAGTCGTGGGCTTTGCTTTTCGGCAAGACTGCCAAGTGCACAGAATTCTATCTGTTTTGACAGCAATTTCATGATGAGAACCCAATGTCAACAATTGGAAATATGAATGCCACCAAATGTGTTTTTCTCATTATATTAGAGGTTGATTATTTAGGTTCAAGAAGAGTCGTCTTTATTCAAAGGGAATCTTTAACTACAGCTTTCCTAAAACACTAACACATTTGTTCACAGATCAGCAACTAATTCTGAGAAAAGGGAGAAAGAGGGACCCAAGCAATACACTGAAGGACCACAGGCATCTGAAGCCACCAAACTGCTAACTGCAGTTACCACTGGAGAGTGGGAAAAAGAGGCAGAGAGTCACTTTACTCACTTAATATCATGTTTTTACACAAATACCACGTGCTTTATACGTTTTGCCAGCCACATCATCCACTCATTGTTTTCCTAGGTGAGCTATGCACATTATATGTATGGGTGCATTATTTACAAAAAATGCTGTCCATTCATTTACTACAATGTATTTGTAGCATCTCTACCAAGACAAATCAAAGTGTGCCTGCACTGACTTTTTTCCATGCACACAAATGTCATTTCATCCTGGTAACGACAAAGGGCAGTTGTTGTAAAGTATAACTTCAATTAACATTTTCTTCCTGATTATAAAAGCACTGCATGTTATTTGTAGAAATTTTAGAAAACACAGAAAAGCACAAAGAACAAAAGGACACACCATGATAATCCCACGCCCCAAATAACCACTTTTTGTCCAATTTTTTTTTCCAACAGTAATTTAAATAACACAGACTTTCCTTGCTACAGGCAATCAGAAGAAACTTGATACCTACAGGTACTGCACATGTTTGACGCCCCTCCCTTTGTTTGCCAGGAAGCACTCACTATCCTCAAGGGTACCACCCTATTGGCAATGACTTGGTTTTGAGAAAAATCAAAGGTACAATTATTCTTAAAACAAACTTTGGGGGTGGGGATTCAGCAAAGATGTTAAAAGGCCTGGTTCAAAAGCCATAAGCCAAGCTTTAATAAAGGTTAGTCAGTCAGAGCACAGTGATACACGAAATTCACGGAGCTCGGGTGGCATAGTGCCTAAGGCACTTGACTGCTAACCAGAAGGCTGGCGGTTCAAACCCACCAGCCACTCCTCGGAAGGAAGGTTGGGCGATCTTCTTCCGTAGTGATGCCGCCTTGGAAATTTGGTTTGGTTTCTCTCTCACTGGAGCACCATCTCCTTTCTCCTCCTGAAATAGTCTGTTGTGACTTTTACTATCCTGTTAGTCACCACCCAAAAGCACCTATGATCCCTGTTCTTAAAAGAGGATACTCCAACACTTCCTGGTCTCCCACCTCTCTAGAAGTATGAATGCATATAAGTGGAAATGATTACAGCCATTATAAAGGGAAGGGACAGAGACAGGAGAAAAGGGGCTGAAGCTAATTGCCAGTCACAGTTTTAGTAGCCAATTTTTCACCAGATAATTGTGTAAAACATGAAAACGCTTCTAGTCAGGTAGCAATGGAAGACAGATAACTCATTTTCCTACCTAATTCTGGATGAAAGACTTTAGTGGGATTGATCAGACAGGAGGTGAGAAGAGGGGCAAGTAAGGTGAGGCTACTTTCTACCTGGAGATAACAGTAAGGCTCAACCTGAGTTGGCTGGACTGAGGGAAAGGTTAGAAAAGATATGTACAAATCTCATCACCTTTCTCCTCTGAGCCTCTGTACACTTACCTGGGTATCTGAAAGGAAATGCCTTTCAATGAACCCTATATAGTCAATGCTTTTCACAGAACTCAGAAAAAAGAGTACCCTTTTCCTGAAACTGAGGCTCAGAGAAGTTAAGAGACTGGACCAAGGCCACACAGCCTGAGAGTGATAACACAGAGACCCTGTGTCCCAGTTCAGTGCAAGTTCTAAAAGTCCTCTTTGCTCTTCTGCTAGGTTTCATTCCACGAGTTAAAAGAAAATGACTCCACTATTTTCAGAGCTTAGGCACATTTTAAAGGGCCACAAAAGGAGAATGGGAAAATGAAGAGGGGGAGAAGGAGAATCGCATGTCACACATATCAAAGGACACAGAGAGAAAGAAAGGTCTGCAAAGCCTTTGGGAATCTCCCTCCCAGGGCTCACTCAGGGCAGGGTCACAGGGGCTCTGAGCTGCTCCTCTTCTCTTCTTCCTTTCTTCTTCTTGGGTTGTTTTTGTTTGTTTGTTTGTTTGGGGTAGATATGGGAAGAAGCTCTTTCACTGGCAAGACAGGCTTTAAGGGCTTGCTTCCAAATCTAGTCAGAGTATGGCAAAGCCCAGACTGGCGGGTAAAAGCTGTCAGTCCCATTTTCTCTTCACAAATTACACTGTTTGCTTTTCACGCAGAACAAGTATGGCATTAGTGTTCTCTGGCAAGGATAGGGAATACGCTTATGGGCTTTGGCACATTTTATTGTCTCAGCCTTCTGAGGCAATGACAATCTTCTACCCTGGCATGGCAGCCATCTTGCTCTCAGTAAACTTGACTAGGTAATTTGTTGCAGCCTAAGACAAATCAAATCAGAAGCCACTAGTGAAAGTATCAGCATGCCTTTTCGGCACAGCGGCTGTCAACATTTATTGTTATAAGTGTCTCCCCAACACTCATTGGGGAGGCAGGGGAGACCCAGGAGAAATAAAAAATTTAAAGAAACAAGTAAGCCAGAAGACAGACAGGGAAACAAAACAAAATCACATGGCAAAAATAACACTAGTGGTCCTTTACGATGGCAATCCTCCCAGAAGGCCCCTGGGCTGCATTGTTAAGATGTGGTGTGTGTAATATGACTACATCAATTCATTGGTGTCTGACAAGAATTCATAATGGACTCCCGATGGTTCTCGTTAGTATCTCGCTAGAAACATCACCATCTATCCTCTGGTGGTTTGTTTGTTTTTTTTTCCTTTTAGCAGTGGCAAAGTAGTATGAGCCTTTTGTGGAGTAAGGAGTCCTGTGAAAGTGGTTTATGTGCACCTAAAGAATTTGAGAACCACTGATAAAATAAATTGAAAATGTATTTACAATGTAATGTGATGCAACTCAACATAAATGCTGAGAGTTAAGCAAAGAGTGGTCATTTATTACAGATCTTTAGGTAGAACCATCCCATAAAAATCTCAGGTGGATTCAGATCTGTCTTCAAGTAACTGCTGAAAAATACATTACTGTTTATTGTGAAAGGAGAAACCCACAAAATCATCCTTTAGGAATTCTTCACAAATTCATCTCAGTTTCATTTTCAGGTTCTGCTAGGGTATGGGATCCTGGGAACAATACTCATATGAAGTTGGAAAAGGGATCAAACATGTGAGATTTCAATATTTTTTTAATATTCATACTTTAAATCAGGTGCTTTAGAAAAAAATGATGATAAAAATTCAAAGATCTTTTTCTGTTGCTTCATCCCATTTACATCAGGATTTGATTTCAAAGTTTTAGGACAATCCCTTCTGCATAATCTAGATCAGCCTGCAAAATGTGAGGAGTTTTCCAGCCCGGAGAAGGCAGGGAGTGGGAAATGGTTCAAGAAGAAATCCAGAGGCTTTTCCCCACCTCATAAGAGCCCTTCATCCCAAACTTTGTAAATAGGGATTGAGGGTTGGAAAAGGGGAAAGGTTGGCCAAACTCTGATGGCCAGCCTTCCTTCTGTCACTACCCTCACCTCTTCTGTCCCCCTCAAATGGGGGCAGGGCGTTCAGTCACTGCTTAGGGCAGTAAGGCAAAGACAAAAGGAACCCTCTTAGTCCAAAAAACTCTCTCCTATCATTCCTGGGTGGTTTCAGTTCTTTTGACCCTCAGAAAAACTGCTGGGCCCAAAAAGAACAATGACAATTAAAAAAAAAGGCCTGCTACAATGAAAGTCACTGGCCTTGCCTCTTTGCTCTATCGTCCAATCTGTCTCACTTAAAGCAGTAGTTCTCAACCTCCTTTCTGCTCCCACTACTATCAGTTACAAAACACTACCACCATCAACTTCTCTCCTTAGAGGTGAAGATTCTTACCTGGCTTCTGCAGGGGTGCAGGGTATATCCTCATTCCCCACCCTGTTGAGAATCACTGAATTGCAGTTGATTAAATATCAAAATGAGGACTCAAATGAACTGTCTGAAGTCAAAATGGGTTGACAGGCTTTACAGTACAAAATTGTGGGGCCAAAAGAAAAGGAATTTCTTGAGAAAGGGATTGAGTGTGGGCTGTTGTAGAAAGAGACTAGAACCTACCAAACCTGTTGCCATTCAGCCGATTCTGACTCATAGCGACTCCCATTGGGTTTCCAAGGCTGTGGATCTTTATGGAAGCAGACTGCCTCCTCTTTCTTCCACGGAGCAGCTGGTGGGTTCAAGCCACCGACCTTTTTGTTAGCAGCCAAATG